CTTTATCTTTAAATGATAATAGTATTGATAATCAGCAAAGTAAAAGTAAAAGAAGTTATAAAAGGAGACAAAAAGTTGATCTTTTATCACTACAAACTATTGCTGAACTCTTAAAAGATAATAGTGTTAATTATAAAAATAATAATATCGATTTTAATGATAGCAATGATAAAGAAATTTTACAACAAGGTTCTTTAGAAATAAAACGAAACTCAAGATTAATGTTAATCCTAGAACCAAAAGCTAATTTTCAAGAATATATTTCTTTAAATATAACTGTTCAATCAAGAATGATATTAATAGTTGATTCAAAAGCAAATGGTCTAATTGATAATTTTTTTTCTTTAAATAGATCATCAATTGCTTTGAAATCAAGTAATGAACCTGATTCTTTAAATAAACTCTCAAAAATGATATCATCACCTTCAAGACTAACAAGATCGACATCTTTAAAATCAAAAGATAATGCATTGAATGTTTTTAATAATATATTCATTCTTACTCAAAATATAACAAATTTCAATACAACAATTAGTGAAGTCATTCTATTACCATTTAATGAAATGACAATTTATCAACTTTGTTCATAGTTGTGTATAAACTCTAATATTCTATAGCTAGCAAATAATATGCATTTATCAATGCAGATACCAGTTGTAGAAGCATTATTATTCATATTATCTGGATTTACTTTACCACAAAAGTAAGATAATAAAGCAAAGGCTTGTTGTGATTATTTAAAAGAATTGAAATATCTTTTCCTTCGCATTTGGAATCTTCAGAAAAGTATACTTGAAGAATTTATAAGAAATATTATAAAGTGTGACCTCAATAATGCTGAAGGTATTGAATAGAATTAAATAGCAAATGGGCACTTCATTGATTTCTGTAATAAGTTAGTTAATAGTGTTAAAGATTCAGTTAAAATGTTCAAGAAAAAAAGAAAATTGTTAGTATTAAATGTCAAGTAAATATTTCTTTTTTTATTATTTTTATTTTACAATTTATAATAATTTAATTAATTATAGGTCTATGATGAGCTTTTATGAAAAGAAGAAATAATTACTTTTATTAATGAGAATAAAACAGTTCGCGTGTTAAGTCAGTGGTTAAATGTTACTAATATAAATGAATTACATGCTTAAGATTCTATGTTTTATTATGTAAATTTATTCAGCATGCATTTGATATTAATTATTCATCAAGAAATACTGAAAAGACCAAAACTTTGGAATCTTTAACAAAAAGCATCATAGTCTTATCACAAAATGGTAAAAACTTCACCAGCAATTTACAGTTATAAATTACCTTTTTTTTATTAATATCAAATTGTATTTAGTTGGTATTTATTGATTTTAAATTTTATTTAGCAAAAAATTTATCTAATTAAATTTCGTCAAAAATGCATTTATTTATAATTATTTTTGAAAAATTTATTATTAAATTTTATTAAATTTATTGTACATTTATTAAAGCGTTAATTATTATTTATGCTAAATATTTAGTAATTTTTCATATTAAATTCATCTAAAAGTACTTGCCGAAACTTCGCATAAATTTCTAAGATTACTTTATTCAACTAATTTTTCAACATTAAAAAAATTTAAAATATTTATTATAAATTATTACAAATTTTGCAACTAATTTTTAATAAATTATTATTAATTTTTTATGATTTCGTTAAGAAAATATGCAATTACAAGATTGAAACTAATTTGTGACAAGTTTTAATTAATAACGTGACTATTTAATAAAAAATCACAGGTTTCTATAAAGTAATTTATTATTATTCACTAAATTAAAGAACCAATAATAAAAATAGACAATACATAATATTAGAATAAAAAAATAATTTTATTATGTACCTGACTGCATTACCATGATGACCTGATCGATTTAAATCTTTTTTTTTAAAAAAAATATTTAAACAACCTTTGTAGATTTCTCCTCTACTTATTCTTTATCTTTTAGTATCAGTATCAGTATCAGTATTAGTTATCAGTGTCAGTATTAGTTTTAGTATTAGTATTAGTATCTATTACAATTTCCTATTGTACAAAATGCAGAATTCTGACTTAGATTATATGATTAAATAGAAATCTAACGTGCATACTAGTTTTTATAATAAAATCTCATATAAAATATCAGTATTAACTTATATAGATGATACATTATAGATCACTAAATTAAAACAAGACCTCATCAATATTATCAATCTTGCAAATAGCTTCTATGATCTAACAGCATTAAGCTTAACTGGTCTAAATCTGATCTGTTAACTAACTTATCCAATATTACACCATACAGGTAAATATTAATACTTTCATCCAAACAATCACCTTCAGAAGTCCTAAAGAATCAATAAGATACCTTAGTATTTAGATATCACTAAAACACAACAAAATGTTTATTATCAATCAATCATATAAAATGTCAAATGCATTACACTCTATCTAATAAACATCTTACTGATAAATAACTTATCTACATTTTTAAAATTATTGTGATACCTCATATTAAATACTATATACAGTTGACTCACTTATCAAAAATAATCTTAGATTGCATTACTAGACTCTTTAGAGCTCTTTTCAAAAAACAGCTTAATCTCTTAAGAGACATATCATTATATATCATTCACTTAAAGCTATTTTATAGAGTCACTCAATTGTATCATAGATATACACAGGCTCTTAGCGATGTTTTTATAGTTTTTTAAATGATATAGTCATTCTAAATTTAATCTTTTGCATTTATTTGCTACAACTTCAAAATAATAATTGGCTGCCTACATCATTCTTAATTAACTGGCTATATAAAAGCTCTAAGAATTTCAAAAAATTGTATTTTAACCCTATTAATATAAACTAAGGAAGCTTAATATTAACTTAACACCTCTACTACTATATAATCTATCATTTCACACAATTATAGTAGTTTTTTAGCATTATTAGCCAAATACTCTCTGATATTTATCAACAACTAATTACCTATAATAAAAGTTTCTGTATACAGCCAATGATCTTAGATTTTTTTATCATTTTCTAATTAAGAAAAAACCCCAGTGGTATCACATCATTCACAGAGCCCTTAATATTGATTTGAATCAATAATTACTATCTAATACAATGTACTTGTATAATATTAAATACAATTGTTTTACAATATCTCTATATATAGAGTTTCAGATGAGTTAAGTTAACTCATGAGTCAGATAAGCTGAGTCGAGTTCAAATCAAGTTGAGTTTATGTTTTTTTGACTCGATGATTTGTGAGTCAAGCTAAATTTGAGTCGAGTTAAATATTTAACTCAACTCGATTTAAAATTGACTTGATTCGAGTTGACTTGAATGATAAAAAAATCATTCAAAAAGAACGATAAGGAATCGTTCGACTTGAACGATAAAAAATCATTCAAGAAGAACAATTAGAAATCATTTGACTTGAATGATAAAAAAATCATTCAAGAAGAATGATAAGGAATCGTTCGACTTGAACAATAAAAAATCATTCAAGAAGAACAATAAAGAATCATTCGACTTAAACGATAAAAAAATCATTCAAGAAGAAAGATAAAGAATCATTTAACTTGAACGATAAAAAAATCATTCAAGAAGAACGATAAGGAATTGTTTGACTTGAACAATAAAAAAATCATTCAAGAAAAACGATAAGGAATCATTTGACTTGAATAATAAAAAATCATTCAAAAAGAATGATAAAGAATCATTCGACTTAAAAAATAAAAAAATCGTTCAAGAAGAACGATAAAGAATCGTTCGACTTGAATAATAAAAAAATTGTTCAAGAAGAATGATAAAGAATCATTCAACTTGAATGATAAAAAAATTGTTCAAGAAGAATGATAAAGAATTGTTCGACTTGAACGATAAAAAAATTGTTTAAGAAGAATGATAAAGAATCATTCAACTTGAACGATAAGGAATCGTTCAAGTCAAATGATAAGGAATCGTTCGACTTGAACGATAAAAAAATCATTCAAGAAGAATGATGGCCTAAATCATTCTTTTCATTTTTTTTATTATTATTTTTTTTAAAATCTAATCGAATTAAAATCGAGTCGAGTCAATTTGAGTCGAGTTTAAAATTTATATAATTCGAATCAAATCAAATTGAAAGATTTTATAAAATAAATTTGACTCGACTCGACTCGAAAAAAATGAATCAAATAGAATTGGTCTTTAAACTCGACTTGACTCAACTTATTTAGAACTCTATCTATATATCAGCTCATAAAAATTTGCATATATTCTCCATTGGAATCAAAGCAGCAATAATTTATTATTTAACATTATTTATTGCACATGTCAAGTAAATAATACTGAGATTATAATACAATAATGTACTAATTGTCCTCTCAACAAACTAATATTATTTAAGAAGAACTCTTTAGAATTAACTAAATATAAATGTGTATTTGCTATACCTTTTAGTACTTGTGTGAATATTACTCTTAATAATAACAAAAAATAACATGTTTACCTATAGTTACTACTATTCTTGAAAGATTTATCATAATATGCAACCTCAAGATTTAATAATTTATCAATTTTACTTTCTTTAATTAATTATTACTATCCTGCATTTTTATCTATTAATTCTAAGTTTATTCCTTTCTCACATTTTATTAATTCTATAATAACAGTTTTCTGTACTTCAAATCTGGAATTTTATATAGATAGTTTCCTCTTTCAACTAGGTTCCTCTTCAATTAGAATGGGTTTGACTTAGTAGCAAATTAATCTAATCTCACCATTGATATCTTATTCATTTGCGTTTATTTTATTATTTTTATTATTATTAACTATTGAGTTAGCTGCAATCTTTATCACCATTACTATATCTCTAAAGAATTGGTATGTACTCATCAAAATAAATTTATAAGTCATTATTTAGCAATTCAATAAATTCAAAAAGATTCTGAGTTTCTCTCCATCAACTCGTTTACTATTAAAGATCAATAGTTTTCCTTTATAGTTCAGCTTCTTCAAAATCATCCAATCTCAGAATTTCAACATCTGCTTACTAAAAGTCAAAGCATATTCAAAAAACATGTTTAATAACAAAATTGACCAATTAGCTAAAAATTGTTATAACATATCTGCTCTTATGTTTGACCTCTTTTATATAAATCAGTATCATTACAAATATAAAGAAATGAATATTCTAACATTTATCTATCATTTCATTAAAAATATTATGCAGTCAATAGTATATAATAATTTTCAACACTTTCACGTGATTAGTAAATATTACTATTTTGATATTAATTGGCTTGTTACTACTTTTACATAAATGATAATATAGCTAATACTTATATTTCTTATAAAGCTTCAGTGGTTAAAAAGAAAAAAATTTAAAGGCTATTGAAAATGCTTCCTACTATGAAAAATTTTAAAAATAAGACATTTAGATATCTTTAACATATTATAGCTCTATTCTAAATGTGATTATGCTAATAAAACCTTCTCTCACATTTGGGAATATCTGATATCATGAACTCAAATGCAACTTTTT